GCTGAAGCTATCCATTTTCATCCCACAGCTGAAGATCTGTCTGTGGATATGCTCAAAGTTGCCACTATAATTTTGGGTCACAGGATAGTGCTTATACTGATGCACACAAGATCCAAAAGGGTGCCTGGTTCAAAAGGTGGGAGGCTTTCTGCAAGTGAAAGACGAAGAGGAAAAACTTTAAAAAGTTTATTTTAGGCTCTTGATCCTCATTATTATGATGCATTCTTGTAAATTTGTCCCAAGTAAACTTTATTAAAATTCACATACTTAATGAGATTAACCACAGGAAAAAAAGGAAATGAATATTAAAGTGACATTTACAGAAGTAAAAGACCTAATTATTTACCAGGGGCAAATTCCATACAGTATTTATATTACATAATATATTTGTATCAAGCTTACTTCACTTAATTCATCATTAAAATTATTTACCAGAATTCAGTTCTTCCTGTTACACATTGCTGGGCTGGCGCTCTCATGTGTTTGTTTTTATCATAAAATTATTTTTGCTTAAACGATAATTAAGCATTAATAATTGTTTTAATTAACAATTGTTTAATACAAGGTCAAGAGTGCTTTAAAAAGGTGAGAATTAGGCCAGACACAGTGGCTCACACCTGTAATCCCAACACTTTGAGAGGCTGAGGCGGGAGGATGGCTTGAGCTCAGGAGTTCAAGACGAGCCTGGGCAACATAGTGAGACCTTGTTGCTGGAGTGCAATGGCATGATCTCGGTTCACCACAACCTCTGTCTCCTGGGTTCAAGCAATTCTCTTGCCTCAGCCTCCTGAGTAGCTGGGATTAGAGGCATGCACCACCACTCCTGGCTAATGTTGTATTTTTATTAGAGACGGGATTTCTCCATGTTGGTCAGGCTGGTCTCAAACTCCCGACCTCAGGTGCTCCTCCCACCTTGGCCTTCCAAAGTGCTGGGATTACAGGTGTGAGCCACCGCGCCCAGCCTCAAAAATTTTTTAAAAAATTAGGTGTGATGGTGCATACCTGTAGTCCCAGCTACTCAGGAGGCTGAGGCAGAAGGATCACTTGAGCCCATGAGATTGAGGCCACAGTCAGCTTTGTTTGTGCCACTGTACACCAGTCTGGATGACAAAACAAGACCCTGTCTCAAAGAAGAGACAGAGAGACAGAGAGAGAGAGAGAAATTTATAAATAAACATCTTTTTTTTTTTTTTTTTAAAGAGTGAGAGTCTCTGCTCTGTCACTCATCTGGAGTGCAGTGGTGCAATCATAACTCACTGTGTCCTCAAACTCTTGGGCCCAAGTGATCTTCCTACTTCAGCCTCCCAACTAGTTTGGACTACAGGTGCATGCCACCATGCCTGGCTAATTGTTGTTGTTGTTGTTGTTATTGTTTTAGCAAGGGGGGGGTCTGCTTACGTTGCGCAGGCTGGTCTTGAACTCTTGGCCTCAAGCGATCCTCCTGCCTAAGCTTCCCAAGTCACTGTGATTACAGTCGTGAGTCACTAGCCCAGCTCACATCACTCTTATATATGGTAAAACAGAGTATTCAGCAGAGCGAAATTTAAAAATATAGAGAGAAACAGCAATATTTCCAAATAGTCAATATGGCTACATGTTAATTTCAGTCAAATAAGCAGCCAAACAAGAAGAGGGCATGGAAACCCATAGAATTTTGTTCTAAAATCCTCGAAGTTGGTTGTGGAAGTAAAAATGTTCGACACACACTTTTAGAAGTTTAGAAATTATATGACTTGCAATTTCATAAAATTCTGAGTGAACGTTGTGTCCAGGACAAAACAGATCCCTAATCAATGTATTATATTTGCACAACGCCCCTAATGTCACAGATATTAGTCACTAAACAAAACATTTATCTATGGCAGAACGAGTAGATTCCAATTTAGGGCTGAGTGCGGTGGCTCACTCCTGTAATACTAGCACTTTGGGAGGTGGGCAGATCGCTTGAGGCCAGGAGTTTGAGACCAGCCTGGGCAACAGGGCAAAACCCCGTCTCTAAAAAATCTTTTTAAAAAATTACCTAATCATAGTGGTGCGTGCCTGTAATTCCAGCTACCCGGGAGGCTGATGTAGGAGGACCACCTGGGCCAGGGAAGGTCGAGGCTGCAAAGAGCTGTGATCCCACCACTGCATTCCAGGGACACCAAGTCCAAAAAAAAAAAAAAAAAAAGATTCCAATTTAGTATTCCGTAAACCCAAGACCATAGCCACTCTTACTGTGCAAACTTTACATAAAACTCTAACTTCCATACAGAGTTTTGTGTGGGAATTCTTGGGTTTCAACTTGGCACATCATCTATGTACTTTCTAAAGTGTGAAATTAATCCAGACACTTACAAAAAGTTATCCAAATGATTGTATTTACAAAAATGGCACAAAGTGAATTAAACAGTCTATGCACATGCACACGTATATTTGAAGTCCATAAAACATTATTATTATTGCTCTATACAATATTAACTTAAATTTGCCCTCATATTAACCCTTTACATTACTATTCATTCTTTCATCTCTGAGTTTCCATCTGGGATTATTTTCTTTCCTACAAACTTATCCAATAATTTTCTGCTGTTGTTTGGATATTTGTGTATTTTCATGTATACATATATAAACAGACAATATTTTATTATATTAACTATAATAATATATTACTATTGTTCATGTGGTCAATGTTTACTTTTTTTTTCCCTTGAGACAGGGTCTCACCCTGTCACCAGGCTGGAGTGCAGTGGCACAACCACAGCTCACTGAAACCTCGATCTCCCAGCTCAAGCAATCCTCCTTCCGAGAAGCTGGGACTAGAGGCACCGGACCACACCTGGCTAATTTTTGTACAATTTTTGTATTTTTTTGTAGAAACAGTGTTTCACCATGTTGCCCAGGCTGGTCTTGAACTCTGCCCACCTCAGCCTCCCAAAGTGCTGGGAATACAAGTGTGAGCCACCACACCTAGTCCAATGTTCACTCTAAATTTGCTCACGTCTTTGCCTTTTTTGTTGGGCTTCTTGCATTTCTAGGTTTCCATGTAGGTAATTTTTTTTTCCCCCTGCTGGAAGGATACTCTTTCACATTTCCTTTATTGTCTGTCTGCTGATGACAAATTTTCTCAAGTTTTTGTTTCTGAAAATGGCTTTGTTTTATCTCCATTTTGATTTTTGCTGGGTATAGAAATCTAGATTGGCAGGGATTGGTCTGTTTGTCAAACTCTGTAACTGCATCTGATCTAATTTCCAATTATCAAGGAAACTCTACTTTTGATTCTTCCAGGGAAAAAGTAGACACAATGAATATTTCATTATATTGGAGTGAACATAAATTCTACATTTCCTAAACTTGGGAATAAAAATATATAACTATGGAACCTCATTCAGGAAAAATAAATAAATAAACACACTCTCCTTGTGCACCCTTCTAGTATACACAGATCAGAATAAATAAAGTGAATATCAATATTTGGAAGTTTAAAAGAGCAAGAAGTCACAAAATGCAGTCAGGAAAGTGGGTTGGACTGGCAAGATGTAGTGCTCAAAGTGAAACCCTGGATGTTTGTTGGAATTCTCCAAGTTTTAGAGATTGTTCTTTTTGTCTCCTTACTCTCTTAAACACATTCATCTATTTCAACAAGTTATTTTTTGTTTTTGGTTGGTTGGTTGGTTTTTTAAAGCTCTGGTTAGTGCTAGATACTGTAAATCCTGATTAATCAGACATGGACTTAGCCTGCAACAAGCTTCCAACAGAGACGTTAACAGGTATACAAATACCAGTAACAGATGGAGACAGCCATAACAGATGCATAGACAAAGATTCTTCCCTGTTAAGAGCAGTGAACAATTATTTGTGAGGAATAAGGAGACTAAGGGAGAAAAGAATCAGAAAAAAAGCACCTCCAGGAGGCAACATGTAAGCAGTACTTTTCAGAAAAGAAACGGTGATGCCAAGATAATTACAAGTGACAGATCACAAGCTTTTCTGGGAAACATTGTCCAAGAAGGAATAGGCAAGAACTGCAGTCAAGCAGAATTACATATGCAAAAGAGCAGTGAGAAATAAGAGAAAATGGCAAATTGCAGACGGCCCTGAAAGCTAGGCTAAGAAGTCTGGTTTGAGACAAACGTCCAGCTAAAGCACGTCTGAGCGTTTTTTCCACAGAGGTGAGGGAGCAGAGCATGTATCTATTAGGTTGGTGCAAAAGTAATTGTGGCTTTGCCATTACTTTCAGTGGCAAAAACCACAATTACTTTTGCACCAATTTATTCATTTATTTATTTTTGAGACAGAGTCTCGCTCTGTTGCCCAGGCTGAAGTGCAGTGGCATGATCTCGGCTCACTGTAACCTCCGCCTCCCCGGCTCAAGTGGTCCTCGTGCTTCAGCCTCCCGAGTAGCTGGGACTGCAGGCATGCGACACCACCCCCGGCTAATTTGTTTTTCTTTTTTCTTTTTGTATTTTTAGTAGAGACAGGGCTTCACTATGGTGGCCAGGCTGGTCTCGAACTCCTGAGCTCAGGCCATCTGCCCTCCTCGGCCTCCCAAAGCGCTGGGATTACAGGCGTGAGCCACAGCTCCCGGCCTACCATCCTACGAGGTAGGCATCAGGATCCCTACACAGCGAAGGCGCCCCCACTACGTATCTGTCTACAGGCGTGCTTTCTGCGGGCTCTGCTGTGGACAGCACTTGGGATGTCAGATTGACCGCTAATAAGGTAGATCCGTATGTACTGCTGCGGGGTTGAGTAACTGGTAGAGGCTCCCACAGTTAGAAAGCACCTGGACCTTGGCCGGAATTGGCGTAAAGTCCAGGCAGCGGAGAGGTGCGGTCCCTGGGACTGGGCGTGCTCTTGGTACCAAGGTCAGGGCAGGCAGGCTCCGGAGAGCCCGCGCGCTCCGCCGCGTCGCACTAGGTTGGCTGCGGGAGCCCAGCCAGCTGGCGGGGCGGGTGCCTTCCAGCTGGGGGCGGGGCCTTGCCAGCTCGGGGGCGGGGCCTTGCCATTGGTAGGGTGGGGCGGGCCGCGGGTGGTGGGCCGCGGGCCGGGCGCGGACTAGCTGAGGCCAAGAGCCGCCAGCCGCGAGCCGCGAGCCGCGCGCCAGGCAGTCCGGGGCATCCAGGCTGCAGGCCGCGCCCAGGCTGCGCCGCCAGCCTGCCTCCCGCGCCGCCGCGCCGCCAGTGCGAGCGCTCCTCTTCAGCATGCTGCGGTGGGGCAGCCAGGCGCTCCGGCGCTTCTCCACTGGCCGGGTGAGTCCCGCCCGGGCGAGCGTCCCGGCTGTCACCCTGTCCTGGTTTCCAGACTCCGGGGCGGGAGGGCCGGGGCGGTGGGGCTGGGGATGAGCAGCGATACTTAGACTTTGCTAAAAAGCAAGACAGCGTTTAAAACAAACAAACAAAAACAGAGAGACCTCAGAGAAGGGCCTGGGGAGGGTCCCGGATGGGAACTGGCACGCAAGCCATTGTCTACTGCCGGAAAGGGGCTGAGGATGCAGTTTTTGGACGTGTCAAGTCTGGCTGGGATGGCAAGGTGGGAACGGTCACTTGGTAAGGAGGACAGAGTCTGCTTCCTTTCCTTTTTCACTTCAATCATGAGATCCCTGGTCAAGAGCCGGAGCCGTATGGGGCCGAGACCGTCTGCTGGAAGAGGAGGGGAGTATCAAGTCAGTAGGGTCCTCGTTGGCGGCCTGGGAGGTGTAAGCGCTCGAGACTGGCACTCAGGGCCGGTTCAGATAATGGCACTGAAAGCCGATGGCTGCAAGCTCAGTATTCCTGAGCTGAGCTACAGATGGCAAAATTTCTAGAATTGCCAGGCGCTGCAGAGGCAGCCACGCTGGAACACTATTCTACTGTAGCACAAGAACCGAGTTCTGGCCCAGCCCCGCGCCTTGGAATTGCATCAGCTCCTCCAGAAATGGAACCGAGAGCGGACACGTTGCACTGTGGTGCTGCCTTCAGCACCCAGGGGACCTCGGGACTGTTTAGGGAAGAGAGAGAGAGAGAAATAAAAATAAAAACTGTCTTATGTATCGTATCTCTTTTATAGGAAGTACATAAAAGAATTTGCTTATCGATTCTTTTTCTTGGTCATGCCAAAGCCATATGTACACATGTATATATTCAGATGTAAAAAACTTGGAGGCAGAGAGAAGTCTTGAGTAGCACCAAAAACTGGCCCAAACTTGCATTAAAGGAAAAGCTTTCTGTATCCCAGACAACCCCAAATAATAAGAATTCGTTTTACTCTTTGCAACCAGTTCTAGTTACTTCGAGGTATATTCACCTTTTATAAAATGGGGGGGGGGGGCCGGTGGGGAAGATCTGCTCTGCTAGGACTTTTGCCTGCTCTGCTGGACCCCTCATTAGCTCCCCCCACCATGTGGCACATGAGATCCCAGATGGATAGCACAGAAAGCGAGGGGCTGTGCCGAGTGCCCGAGCCTGTTTTGTGGGCCTCCTCTGTCAACACCTTTCATTGACTTGTCTTTTTTGGAGAGCAGAAGGAAGTCTTGAGGAATGAAAAGATTTTGATAGTGGAGTTTGCTAAGATTTCAGTAATAAAAGTTAAACATCCCAGGTGGCAAATGGCATAAACAAAGCCATGGATGTGGGGAAGCACTGGCGTGGTCAGGATCTGACTGTACCCAGGGGTGCGTGTGGAAAAGCAGTGACACGTATGGCTGGGAAGAAGACAGTTTCCTCAATGGTCAAAAGGAAGCTACTGAGTGATGAATGAAAAATGTGGGATGTTTTATCCTGTGAAAAATGTTCTGGACTGTGTTTTATGAGTTATTCAAAATCAAACAGATACACGGCTGGTGGGAATACAAAATCGTACAGCCACTTTGGAAAACTATTTGGCAGTTTTATATGTAGTTAAACATATACCTATCATATGACCCAGGAATCACACTCCTAGGTATTTACCCAAAAGAAATGAAACCCTTATTTGCCCACATAAAACCCTGTTCGTTGATGTTTATAGAGGCTTTATTCATAATTGCCAAAAACTGGAAATAAATTGTCCTCAACTGGTGACAGGATAAACAAGCTGTGGTATATCCCTCCATACAATGGAATTCTACTCAGTAGGGGGGGAAAAGAATGAACTACTGACGCATACAACACGGATGGAACTCAAATATGTATGCTAAGTGTAAGAATCAGACTCAAAATGCTGCATATTTTATGATTTCATTTATCTGACATTTTGGAAAGAGTAAAACTATAGGGACAGAAAAAAGATTCGTGATGTCTGGAGCTGGAGATAGGAGGAAGGATTGATTATAAACAGGCATAAAGGAATTTGGGCGGTAATGGAACTGTTCTGCATCTTGATTGTGGTAGTGGTTACGTGACTGTGTGTTAAAACTCACAGCACGGTACACTGAAAAGGGTGCATTTTACTGTATGCAAATTATCTTTTAATTTTAATTTTTTGCTTTTTTGAGACAGAATCTTTGTCGCCCAGGCTGGAATGCAGTGGCACAATCTCAGCTCACTGCTACCTCTGCCTCCGGGGTTCAAGCAATTCTCGTGCCTCAGCCTTTTGAGTAGCTGGGATTACAGACATGCGCCACCATGCCCAGCTGATTTTTGTATTTTCAGTAGAGACGGAGTTTCACCATGTTGGCCAGGCTGGTCTCGAACTCTTGGCCTCAAGTGATCTGCCCACCTTAGCCTCCCAAAATGTTGGGATTACAGGCATGAGCCACTGCGCCTGGCCTAATTATCCCTTTATCTTTAAAAACTGAAAAATCAAACAATGCTTTTAAGTTTAGTATTAAAGCAGAATGAAGGATGAATAAAAATAAAGCTTTCAGAACCTAGCAAAATCCAAGGGGAAAATTAGTTTATAACACTTCCTGATAGAATTCCTTTTTCCATCCTCTGTCTTAAATAAAGGGACTTAGAAACATTTAATGATTTCAGCTTAGTGATATGGCTGGATCTTTTTAACTAAAACAACCGTTTGTTTTAAAACCCTTTGTCAATTAGGTATTATTGCCCACCTCTGATATCCTGCCTGGCTCACTGCTTCTTCTCCCCATGGTAGGAGTTATTTAGCCCTCTATTCATGTGGCATTCCTTTGTTTAGCTTTCTCTGCCAGTGTCTAGGTCAGGTCTGTCTGGTAGCTCTGAGTTTATAGCCTGGCTCCAGGTAACTTGAGGTTACCTTCTGATCCAGCCCAAAGAGGCAGGAGACTTCCTTGGTCTTTGGAACCAAGTACCTGCTTTATTTCTCAGTTCTAGGAACCAGGTTCTTAACTCGTTTCCTCATTGCCTGACCTCTGCTCTGGTGTCTTATCTGTTCACAGGATCTCCAAATTCAACTTCAAACCATATTTAGTTGTCAATTATACTCTGAGGTCTCTAAATTCTGAGGATATAATAATATTAATAGATAGCATTAATAAATGTTTTACATATACAGTTATTCCTTGTCCCTTGTATTCATAGGGGATTGGTTTCAGTACCTCCCATGGATATCAAAATCTGAAGATGCTCAAGTCCCTTATATAAAACGGGGTAATATTTGTATATAACATATGCATATTCTCCAGTATACTTTAAATCACCTGTAGATAACTTATAATAATGAATACAAAGTAGATGCTATGTAAATAATTGTCCCACTGTATTGTTTATGGAATAATGACAAGAAAAATTATACATGTCTAGTACAGATGCAATTTTTTCCAAATGTTTTCGATTCATGGTTGGTTGAATCCACGGATACGGAACCCACAAATACAGAGGGCGACTGTGTACTCCTTTAATCCTCATGACATCCCAATGAAGTAGGTACTAGGTTGAACATCCCAAATCTGAACATCTGAAATGTGAAATGCTTTAAAATCTGAACATTTTTGAGCACTGACATGACACGCAAAGGTAATGATCATGACAGCCTTTTGGATTTCAGATTTTCAGATTTGGGATGCTCAAATGGTAAGTATAATGCAAACATTCCAAAATCTGAAAATATCCAAAATCTGAAACACTTCTGGTTCGAAGCATTTTGGATAAAGGATTCTCAACCTAGATTATTATGACCATTTTACTGATAAGAAAACTGAGACCCAGAGAAGTGGACTAACTTCTTCAGACTCTCATAACCCAAAGATAAAACAATAAGCAAGAAAGAAATAGTCCCATTTTCAAGGAGTTCATAGATTAGTGGGATAGACTATTAAATCTGTGTTTTTATGAAAAGAATAATAATACATAATACACTAACTAAAATGATATACCAAAAAGGAAATATGAATGAACAATAAAATATGAAAATACACTCAACCAAACTAGTAATCAAATGCAATTTAGAACAAGATACCATTTTTCACTCATCAGGGTGGCAAAAATTGTAAATTTGATGATATTGTGTTTCTCAGGGGAAAACATTTCCTCCAATACTGTAGAAGTCAATTTGATGCTATCTACTTCAATTAAATTTAGGTTTAAAAATGATCCTGCAGTTTCACTTGTAGGTATCTGAGAAAAATACTTCCACATGGGCACAGGAAGCATGTACCATGATATTCATTGCCATGGGATTTGTAATAATGATATATTGAAGGCCAAAATGTTTCTCAATAGGGACATGAACAAGTAAACTGAGATATAGCTACACTAAGGAATACTGTGCAACGATTTCAAAGAATGAATTATATGTACTAACAAGGAAAGTTATGAAACATTACATATAATATTATTACATTTGAATTATTTTTGAAAACACAAAATAATACTTTTTGTATATGTTTCCATGTTTTTATTTTTATTTTTTTTTTATTTTTGAGACGGAGTCTCTCTCTGTCGCCCAGGCTGGAGTGCAGTGGCGCGATCTCCGCTCACTACAAGCTCCGCCGCCTCCTGGGTTCACGCCATTCTCCTGCCTCAGCCGCCCGAGAAACTGGGACTACAGGCGCCCGGCACCAGGCCCGGCTAAATTTTTTTTTGTATTTTTAGTAGAGACGGGGTTTCACCGTGTTTGCCAGGATGGTCTGGATCTCCTGACCTCGTGATCCGCCCCCCTCGGCCTCCCAAAGTGCTGGGATTACAGGCGTGAGCCTGTACGGATTACCGGCCGTATTTCCTTTTTTTTTTTTTTTTTTTTTTTTTTTTTTTTTTTTTTTTGAGACGGAGTCTCACGCTGTTGCCCAGGCTGGAGTGCAGTGGCGCGATCTCGGCTCACTGCAAGCTCCGCCTCCTCGGTTCACGCCATTCTCCTGCCTCAGCCTCCTGAG